ATTTGTTGTGGGAACATGGAGGACTTTGAGACTCGACAGATTTAACGTGCATCAGTCACCATTTACTACACGGGGAGTCATCGGCCGGCGAGGATCGAACCCACGACCTCTTGGATATGGGCCCAGCGCCCTACCAACCAGGCTATCCCGGCCCGGAAGAAAAAATTGTCGAAAATGAAAAACTTGAAACATTAGCTTCCATACAATAAGGAGAAATATATGTTCTTTTGTTAATCAATAATTAAAAAAGACTCGAAAAAAATAACTCTTAAACAGCTTCAACATGCAATTTTTTTTGCTTCTAGTTCGCATTAGTTTGTGTTTCAGACAGACACACTACCCTAGTAAACAATTAAATTCTTTTTAAAGCAAATCCATGCTGAAAACAAATATTATATTGTCTTAGCCAAATTTTTCAGTTTATTATTATTGTTTCTAGCAGAATACTCGTTTCTTTTTTTTTTAATAATAACACTAATTAATAAATCGGAAATGATCATCATTGGATGAAATTTAAAAGAGATCTGCTGATATAATCATTTGGCATAATTCTATTACTCGAAGCCAACTCTCCTGGTTATCAAAAATTTCCAAAATCAACAGTTTTCTTCGGTACTTATCCCATTCCATAGAGTGTGAAAAACGAATTTCCCTAGTACTCGTAGTCGATACATAGTGTTGATACAATCGTATTGATATATTTTGCTTTGGCTATATGAATACAATATTAGGAAGCACTCTTTTTTGCGGATATAATCGAGTGAGTTGAAGACGCCATTATATCTTTTGATTATTTTGTGCTCGGCTTTTTTAATTTTTTTTAAAAATTATTATTTTTAAAATCATTATTTCAAAAAAAAAATATTATTTTTCTTCTTATCTTTTCAATAAATCTTTATTATATATTTTTTCCATGTTTTCTCTGCGTTTAAAATTTTAGACATACTATCCCTACTATATATATATTTTAAACCTCTAGAGAATTATTCGTTTTGAATAATTGCATTAATTTGAATATTAAAAATAGATCCCCGGATCTCAATAATAAACAAAATAATTGGTTCAGATCAGAGGCTTTCTACAGTAAATAAGATTGCTGGTAATTATTTTATAAGGCAATTATCCACCCATTGTTTGACAGTTAATTAAAATAAAAGATGAAAACTTATTTAGTTAAGGAGAATGTTTCTTAATGAGGGATTGTCTAGCTATGAAATTTTGCATTCATTAATATGAAAACTATAAATATGACTGAGCAGTATTTTGTCTATAAATTTTTTTAAAAAATATAGTGAAATAATATTTTATATAAACTGTAAGAATATTTAGAAAAGCCATATTTAAACAATATTTTGAAAAGTTTTTAATAGTATTAAACGTAAGAAATTATGGTTTTATACACTGTATGTGTCTACTGGGTATATATATATACAATATATATATTATGTATGAAACACAATAAAAAGACAAAAAAGATACAAAAATGAACAGTAAAATAGATAGATATACGAAAAAAATTAAGAAAATCGTAACAAAAAAAGTTTAAAAAAAATCTGTTTCGGAAATGTCTACTAAAATAAAGTAGTAATTTTTTAAATTACTTTTTAAAGAATTAGAAAATGACAACACTTTGAGCGTTAAGTTATTCAATAGCAGCATTTTTTCAGTAGTTTATAAAATGCTTTGACATTTTTTTTTTATCTTGAGTGGGCAGCGAAAAAAGAATGACCAAAAACATTTCTTTTCTATACAATGGGCAGAGAGATGGCGATTTCCAGTTAAAGGAGAAAAAAAATGGCCAAAGTATAAATAATATTTCCTTCCGATTCCTATCACGAATGTAGAATCCCATCAACGCTTCTGATAAAGATCTCACCTTTTGTTTCAAAACACAAAAAGATGATTGTGTCATTCATAGAATGAATATTTCATTATCAGAGAATATATGACGCAGAATAAAAACTAACTTGTTGAAAGATATTAAATTATAGTAATGCCATATTATTAAGTAAAGAAATATCAGGGATATAAAGTCTAAAAATATATCTGGCTAACAAAAGCATGAATAAAAAAACATGTAACGAGATGGATTAAAAATAAAAGAACGAGCCATTTTTATGGAACATGAGAGAGTTGTCGATTTTTGGTGAGAATAGTTTTTGTTTTGAATTTAAGGTTCATACTAAACCGTTACGGGTAATTTTAATTTATTTTGCAAGGTTATTATTAACCTGTTACGGGTATTTTAATTTAATTTTGCACGTTGTCATATAAATATGTTTTTATAAAAAAGAACTGTTTCTTTAATGTAGCTTGATTTGTGACAGGGGGGAATACAGATAAAAAAGTTTTATTTTTTTAAATAATATACAGTCCCTGGCCAAATTATTAGACGCACTATAACATTCTCTTGTTTTTCCGTGACTGAAACCGGTTTGCACTTGTTTACGTTCGTGTATTGGTTAAAATCGACAATATATAATATAAATTTGACGATAAGATAAATTAGACGATATATTATATCAATATAGAATATTTATTATATCAGTTACTATATTAGTAAATTATAATAATTAGACCAAATTATAAGACGAGCTGTAGTTTTTTAATAATCACCTACATGTTTTCCACGAGTTTGTATACAATACTTTTATATATAAACGTACATATAATGGGTTCGTATTCCGGAGATTTTTTATATACTTCCTATTTGTATTTATTTTTAACGTATCGCATTACAATGTTAACTAATTGATACACGAAGGTAAACAAGTGCAAACCGGTTTCAGCCGCGTCAAAAACAATAAAGCTGTATAGTATCACCTGATAATTAAGATTTTACATAGAATCCTAGAGTGCGTCGAATAATTTGGAAAGGGACTGTACAATTTTTAGAGTCTGAGAATAATTTTTTATTTATTTAAATCTAAAAATATTCAATATTTTACAATCATTAGTTACGAAAATAAAATTAAATAGGAATGTGCCTTGTTACTATCAAAAGATTCGGAAAAGTATAACGCAGAATGAATGCTAACTAGTTGATCAAAGAGTGATGAATAACTGTTACTGACTGACAACAGTGTGTGTAGATAAATAACATGTCATCATTCATCAAAATGGGTGATTTCACGAGAAAACATCCTCCATTTCAGTCAGTGTCATTTTCTTGGTGCGGAAATGACACTTCTGTTGGCGGCATGAAAAGAATATAATTTATAAATAAAATTTAGCTGCCATAAAAATGATCCCAACTGATATAATTATGTGTAAAAATAAATTTACCTTGTTATGAATGATAAAGCTATTTTAAATAATTAAACAATTATGTTCTTTGTTTAAGTTAACATTTACTTTTATATTAAAAAAATTAATTAGCTTTCGAGGTTTGTTTAGGATGCTTTTTTTTTTCTTTCTAATTTAACAACTCTAAAAGTAAATCATTGATAGCATCGTCTTTAGTACACTCTGACTGCAACATGCGGTTGTGTCGTCGAAAAGAACTTTCTGAATAAGAGCCCTACACAAATATTTTGAATACATTTTAGACATATTTGTTTTGTTAATTTTTTTGTTTTGATATTTTTTCGTATTTCCTTATTTGACCTGTTCCGCATTTGTTGCAGATGTTTCATCGTTCGCCGGGAAAGGTTTTAATGGTCTCCCCATAAGGTTATAGTGTGTCTACCACTACAATTCCAATTCAGTAGTATATAAGACATGTTAACTAGATTCTATGTCGGGGTACCTTTTCATAGATGATGGTTGACATGGTCGATAAATACACTCCCACATTGGTGACCTCCGGACGTGATGTGAACATGCCTACCTTGACTGAAACTCCCACTTTGATATGAACACTGCCATCTTGAGAATAACGCTCACTTCGATCTGAGCACGCCTACTTCGATGGATGGTCCACATTGAACAGTTGACTTGCTACTTGTAACTGCGACAATATCCACCTCCTCGCTGTGTTGCTACTCGGTTTCGATCACACACAACGTATAACGTATACACTCGACTGCTAAAGGCAACACAGGAGCGACCACGACATTGAACTTAATCTAGCTCACACGATCATCACTGAAAAGTACGGTGATTTTAATACTGCTCTCCCGGCTTCTCACAAAACAGCAATGAA